TGTCCCAAGACCAATGGCCCAAGACTAATGTCCCAAGACCAACGTCCCAAGACTAGCGTCCCAAGACCAATGGCCCAAGACCAACGTCCCAAGACTAGCGTCCCAAGACCAATGGCCCAAGACCAACGTCCCAAGACTAATGTCCCAAGACCAATGGCCCAAGACTAATGTCCCAAGACCAACGTCCCAAGACTAACGTCCCAAGACTAATGTCCCAAGACCAACGTCCCAAGACTAACGTCCCAAGACTAATTTCCCAAGACTAGCGTCCCAAGACCAATGGCCCAAGACCAACGTCCCAAGACTAATGTCCCAAGACCAATGGCCCAAGACTAATGTCCCAAGACCAACGTCCCAAGACTAACGTCCCAAGACTAATGTCCCAAGACCAACGTCCCAAGACTAACGTCCCAAGACTAATGTCCCAAGACCAACGTCCCAAGACTAACGTCCCAAGACCAATGGCCCAAGACCAACGTCCCAAGACTAATGTCCCAAGACCAATGGCCCAAGACTAATGTCCCAAGACCAACGTCCCAAGACTAACGTCCCAAGACCAATGGCCCAAGACCAACGTCCCAAGACTAATGTCCCAAGACCAATGGCCCAAGACTAATGTCCCAAGACCAACGTCCCAAGACTAATGTCCCAAGACCAATGGCCCAAGACTAATGTCCCAAGACCAATGGCCCAAGACCAACGTCCCAAGACTAACGTCCCAAGACCAATGGCCCAAGACTGTTTCGTACCAAGACTGCTCTGGTCCAAGACTGCCCCAAGGCTGCACTGTCCCAAGACTGTGTTGCCCCAAGACTGTCCCCAGACTGCAATGTCCCAAGACTTCTTTGGTACTGTCCCAAGACTCGTCACTGAATGTCTGGATCTCGGATCTCTTTCTTCTTCGTTGTAGGGACTTCTTGATTCACTGTACCTTGTACCACTACTCAAGCTCTAGTGAAAATTTTCCCAAAAACCCTCTCTTAATGGCCAAATGCTAACCCCCCTTTTTGAATTACCTCTTTTTCTATGTTCCAAGCAACTTGAAACCAAAACCTGTGCGCAGGTATCTTGTGATCACCTGTTCGTATAAAAACCAATCGCAAATCCTCACCAAAATGTAACAATATATATATTAAAAAAAATAAGAAAACAAGAAAAAATAGTAAAACAGAGAAATCAACCCACCTAAAATTCAAAGGAGACAAATGTCGACCTTCTGTCGAAAAAAAAATGTCTGGTACCTAACTGCCACGCGTTTTCCTCCCCACACTAGCGATCTTATGGGGTATCACAAAAACTTTCTATATCCGTTCCCCCCTACCAATCCAACCAACGTACCAATCTTAACTCGAGTTAAATTTTGGATATCCACCTATTATTACCAACGCGTGTTGATGGCTAATGTAACTAAATCAACGATGTCGATTAATTAGTTACTCTAATTTCCCCCCTTTTTACAATTTACAACCGCCAACCTCTGACCTAACCAGCCCCCCTACTAACCTCCCCCCTCTTTAGCCCCCCTCTTAAGCCGAAAAAATCCCTTAAGCGCCGGGTGCTAAACCTCTCGAGAGAAAACCGTAGACCTGTTTCCAGGCCTGCTTGAGTAAAAACTGCCTCAAAACAATGGGACTCCGCTTATCCAATTTTACACTTATTTCCTATAATGTAATGTGGATTCTAACGATACCCGTTGCTCGACTTGAGAACACCCCTGTGCGTCCTCTTGTAGTGGTCCTGTGCTGGTTGTCTGTGTTCTTCACTTGACAGCAGAACCACTTTCCCACTCGACTGGTCACCTCTTCCAATTAAGTCTCCTAGTAGTCCGGTTCGATCCTTGTCAACCACTTTCCCACTCGACTGGTCACCCTTTCCAGTCAAGTCTCCTAGTGGTCCGGTTGGGTCGCAATCTGTCTGAAAACCCTTAACAACGCCCCCCACTCGGGCACCTTACTGAAGTCACTGGTTTAAATTGCTAGATTGATCGAAACGATCGGTCTTATAAAACAGTATGTGTATACTATTTAATTAATACAAAGGTCTGATCCAACTAATTTGGTATCAAAGTCACTGTCTTTTTTCGTTTTATGGTTTTGTTCCTTTTTGTATTCTTTTTTGCTCGTGTTTTTGTCCCCCTAGTTGCCCCCCTTCACTCGGTTAGCTAAGCCTCGTTCGGAGAGCGTACCAGGAAGTTTTCTTGAGTTTTCTTAAAAAGCTATCACGGTACAACCGGAAGGTTTACACGTTCCCGCTGAACCGGTACTCTAGAATGGGCATGTAGCCCGGAGCTGTGTCAAGTGGGTTCGACTCCGTAGTCATGATGTCGTAAAAACACCCAGGAGCGCCATAAAAACACTATGTAACATTCGTCTACTGTAGTCACACATGAGGCTTAAGAAAAATAGGCCCTATAACCATTGGCTCAAGAGTCAGGGACACTATCTCTTGTGTTTTTCTACCTAAAGAACGGTCGGAGCCAATTCGGTTCGCTTGCGACATGAGACTGGAACCCGTTACAGCTTAAAGGCCACTACCAAAATACCCCCCCCCCCACTCTAGAAAAAAAACGTCCCCATACTTAGGTCTCGAAATACCCAAATAACATGAACGCCGTTAAAAACCGGGTCGGAACAATCCGCTTAGTTACTTTTTATTGGACAGTGGAACTTTGATCCATTTCAGATGGATCAACCTAAAACTCGCCTTCTCTCAACATAACTATCATAAAATACACTCGAGAAATTTAAATTGAGAACTCACATGTCGATGCACTTGAGTATGAGGAGTAACTAAAAGATAAGCAGCTTGAGAATCAAATAATATAACTAAATAAGTTTGATGCTAATTAGTTTTAACAACAGAAGTAAGTTCTGTCTCAAGAATCAAAGTTTCTGAATGAACCATTGGGACACTCGAGTTGCCCACTGTTCCATTGAATGTTCACTCCTTTCCGTTCGAATAGTCGTCCTTTCTCAAGTCTGTATTCTATTCTCCTGTTTTCAGGATAAGACAGCTCTACTTTCTTATTGTTTCGTATCGAGAAATTGCGAATAGCAATTTCCTGCCTTTTTCTTGAGTAGTTTCCCGCAATTGTTAATTCGGACGTTCTGATTTTTGATTTTTGCGTTTTCAGTTGGTTCGAGAAAACTGAGCATGACAGGCTCCATTCGAAATTTTTAAAATTAAAACTTCACACCAAAATTACGTGTTTCTCAAGGTCAAACCTCCAGACATGACCGACTGGCACATGATGCTATCTCTAGAGAAACAGTTGAATTGGGCGTTAAAAAGAACATATTTCAGATCGAAATTTAAATCTTTTTCCCTTCTTCGCATTAGCAAATCGTTCATTGGAATCGAGAAAAGAATTGAGTTAAAGTGTATAACATACTTATACCAATATCTTTCAAACAAAAAGAAGGCTTTTCAAAATACATTGAGACTACCGACTGCCATATATAGGCTCAACAAAAGAAAAAAAAACAAATTATTTTTGACAAACATTGTTCAACCGCTTCTCTACAAAAATCATTTTTTCATTTGACTTCTAAAAAATGGAATTCACTGCCCATAAGTTTGCGCAATCTAGAAAAATCGAGAACAGGATTCAAGAAAAAATTGAAAGAATTTTACGTGAGTGAATTGAGAAACAATCCAATATGTACAAATACAAATACGTGGCGTGATTTCCGTTTTTGCTAGTTCTATATGTTTTAACTTAGTTTAATTTTCCAGACATTGTTTGAAAGAGAATCTGTATATACTCTGTATATACGCTGTATGTTTGGACTATCTATAAAATTGTTTGTAAAGTTGAAATATTTTGAGAATGCGTTAAAATTGTTAATTCAAACAAACGTTTTCGCACATTTTGTGCATCTTCAGGTTTTAAAAATTCTAAACTCTGTACAAAATGATCAAAGATCATAAAAAGTGTCACACACATCATTACTTCAAAATTTTAAAAATTCAACCAATCAAAACTTTACAAATATCACTGAAATTATGTAACAACTATTATGTAACTTTTTAAAACATTTTGTCACAAATTTCTGAGATTTTTCTTCATTTTTTTTGTACAAATATGTACAAATACCAATATGTACAATATGTACGAAAAATGAAGAAAACTCTCAGAAATTTGTGACAAAATGTTTTAAAATGTTACATAATAGTTGTTACATAATTTCAGTGATATTTGTAAAGTTTTGATTGGTTGAATTTTTAAAATTTTGAAGTAATGATGTGTGTGACATTTTTTATGATCTTTGATCATTTTGTACAGATAGTTTAGAATTTTTAAAACCTGAAGATGCACAAAATGTGCGAAAACGTTTGTTTGAATTTACAATTTTAACGCATTCTCAAAATATTTAGATGTAAAATTTTTGAAACCCTATAAAGTTAAAATACCAGCTCGTTCTTAATTCTTAAAACTGATGTTTTTTTAGTATCCGTAACTTCATATATTTTAATCAACCAATTTCTGAACTGTAACCGAACTTGTTTTGTTTTGTTTTGTTTATTGCTTATTTTCTGATGTTGTGTTTTTGTTTGAGGTAACCAATGAATTTTAACCAACTTTATTATTTACACTTTGCTATACTGATGCCTCGGCTTTTTACTGTATAGTAATTCAGGTGTTCTTTCTTCTCTTCTTCTTCTTCACCTAAAACTGCTCATTTTGACGTAGAATTTCATCTTGCTGCTGATATCCACTCGTAAACATGGTTGCCGAAGTTTTAATTTATTTCAATTGCTTTAGTTTTGCTTTAGTTAGATTTTATTGCTCAAGTTCAATGTTATTGCCAACAATTTGGCATTAACTTCAAAACGTCTGAATCGTCATTGGACATAAAACTCATAATTCTGTGTAGTTTAATGATCATGTATGCTGATCAACTTAATCTAGAGAGTTTTGCTATCAGTTTTTCGAAAATTGCCTTAAAGAGCTGTATCTGTGTATGCGCTATTCAACTCAATCTATTCTTTCCAGATAAATGACCTTCAGGCGCGAGGTAGTTGTCAAACGTCTGAAGGAAGCTAAAAAGACCGCTGAGAGTGTACAAAGCATATCGAAACTCATCATTCACTATCATGAACATGTGGCGGTATCAAGCGAGACTTGGCTGGAAGTTTTTCAACAGGGTATGTTGATCTTACTTATCAAAGAGATAATTTGCTTTGTCATTTTAGTAGCCTTTTTTAAACAGTTTCTTCTTAATTTTAGCGTCAATAGAGTCACAGCTTGCTTTGTGGTATGTTGCAAATGAGGTAGTTCAGACTTCTGGAAACAAGCGACGAGGCTTAGGAACATTATTCAAGGAAGCTTTCAAACCTCACCTTGAAAGAGCGCTTCCATTGACGGCAGACAATTCAAAAAATGAATGCTTTCTTAAAGTGATAGTTGTCTGGGAAGAGCGAAAAGTTTACGATCAACTGTTTTGCGAACGATTAAAGTCAATCATAGGTATCCGCTATTTGCCGCTAGAAATGTTTAAAGTGCTTTTTTTTGTGAAAGAAACGGTCAAAAATAGGCTGATGAATGAATAGTGATTCAAATGGGGTGCTAGAAAATTAAATTGAAATTTCATCAAGATAGAAGAACGATAATTTCATCTGCCTTCCCTAAGTAAAGAAATTCTGTAAGCGACTAAATGTTTTCTGTTTAGAGTTTTCAAATTCAAATGCTGGCTCCAATTACTCAAGGTCAACACAGGACGAGTATGTGCCGCATGTATTAAGGTCACCCTCCAATCACGAACAGGATAAAAAAGGTCCAGGCAGTGTGTACGACGACCAAGAGAGAGTCGCCCGAGCTTTGGCTATATCACAAGACTTTCAAGTAGGGTTTTTTTAATGCGTCATCTCAGGAACGTTTTTCGTCCACAGCAAACGTGCTTTGAGATAACTTTGCAAAGCTTTTTTTGTGAATGTCGAATTTTGTCTAGTAGTGAGTTGGTTATTGGCTTTTGTTGTGTTATTAAAGAAAGATAGTTCAATAGAAATATCAGAATGGTTGACAGTTTATTGACTTGCGGACAAGTTATTGGAAATTTTAATCATGAAACAAAATCCTTCCACTTTCTTCATTACCCTTGCGATAAGCAAGGGTATTGTCAATTGTAACATCGAAGTTCCGTTTGCTAATTTTTGAGCGCAATTGTGCTTTCATCCTACAGTTGTTGTATCGCAGTTGTTGTATCGAATGAGTTTTTGTTTTAGTTGACAGCTACACATGAATTATTTGACAAGGCCCAAAAGATGAAAGGAGATGCCGAAGTTTCTCGAAAACAGTACGATCTGAACAGCTTTGATATCACATCGATGGAGTCCTTCAAAACGTTAAAAGGTATTACTATACACTTTCCAAAAAAACCCAAATAGAAGAAGTTCACTAATAACCTACTGGAAATGTCTTTTCAAGTGTCAATGAGCTCATGGTATCAACCTATGATTCAAATTCGAATTCTTTGAAAGATAGTCAAACTCTACGAAAAACACCAATACCTGGTAGATTCAACTCTTCTATACTAAAATGAATCAGTGATAGGCAAAACCAAGTGTTTAAGAAAAAGGGTGTCCAATTTGAGCCATGGTGGTAATTTTTTCTTCTGACCCAAAAGAGTTTCTTCCACCAGCTGGGTCCGTTAAAAAAAGTTTAAAACAGCTTGACTGCAGTTTAAAAATTTTACCCTCTGAATAATCAAGTATGTTCTTTTTGGGCTGAGGGACAATATTCAGAAACCTGCACTATGACTTTCTGCATTGCGGATTGGATCAATTTTTGACCCTCGAACATCGAAAGCAAAAATTTCCATGGAAATCTTACATCTGCCAGCCGAAAGAAACAATTTTATTTCTACTCTTTTCTTTGAACATGTTACCTTCCTGATGTTTTCGAACAGCAAAAATAGTCTTGTTTACACAAGCATAGCTTGTGTTATAGTGTGAACTTTCTTTTTTCCAAGCTAAGTCGCTAATATTGTTGCGACAAAATGTATTCATTTTGAAAGTGTTCATTTTGATTCAGCTATTAAGTACAACCAAAGCTATGGGTATTAACACAGACTATTATATTACAAACGGAACTTAAGCTTCAAGGTATCATGGTTCTGTAGCGTAGAGGTAGGGAAGGAGACCCCAAACAAAATAAGAGGGTTCGAACCTGGGCAGCGTCGGCTGTTTTTAAAGAACTTTTTCGTATACTAGGTAAAATGCGTCCGCTCTATAAATTGAGGCTTTTTAGTTGGTAAGTTTCTTTTATTAACATTGATTAGTACTGCTAATGCGTCATAATTGGCTTGCGTCAATTCGCAATTATGTAGACTCATAATTGGCGTGCGTCACATAAGAAGTTTTGTTGACTCAAAGTTTTACTCATTCAATTTTCCCCAGTAGCGTTATCTGTCCTATTTTTGCTTGTGTATGCGAAGCGCAACTTCGCCTCTGTGTTAAAAACGGTGTCTACACAAGCAAAGCTTGTGCGATAGTATGAACTCTCTTTTTCTTCCAACCTAAGTCGAAAAAATTGTTGCAACAAATTTGTTCATTTGATCAATAACCAGCTATTAAGTACAGCCGATGCTAAGGATATTTACACATACATAGGGTCTGTAGCGTAGAGGTAGAGAAGGAGGCCCGCAAAAAATAAGAGGGCTCGAACCTGGGCAAGGTCGGATCTTTTCAATGAACTTTTTCATATACTAGTTAAAATGCGTCCGCTCTATAAATTGAGGCATGTTAGTTGATCAATTTCTTAGTTGGTCAATTTCTTTCAGAGTTGACTGGTACTGGCACTGCGTCATGATTGCCTTGCGTCACTTTGCAATTATGTAGACTCATAATTGACGTGCGTCACTGAAGACATTTTGTAGACTCACAGTTTTACTCATTCAGTTTTTCCCAGTAGCGTTGTCGGTCATATTTTTGCTTGTGTATGCGAAATCCAACTTCGCCTCTGTGTTTAAAACGGTTAAAAAACGCTCTGCTTTATAAATTGTGCCAACTCTGTTCACCATCAATCTCATTTTTGCTGAAAAAGAGAAGAGCGTTGCCCGTGTCAGTGAAAATGTTGACCCGCGATAAGTTTCATGATGTTAATTGTGATTGAAGTGGTTGAAAGTAAAGTTCATTGTTCTTTCAATGCTTTCTATTAGTAAATAGTATTTTTAATAATTTCAAGCATCATTACCATGGATTAAAATACTATCCAGTCAACATTTTAAATCACCCTTGTTTGAATTAGTTGATTTTGTTTTCTAAGACTCAGAGTTAGAGCAACTAGGATTAACGGCTGGGGTTAGAGACTGAGATAGAATCTGAGGTTTGAACTGAGGATTAAGAAAAGGTATTGATTGTTGAAGAATGAATTGAGAAAGTTAATATAAATGACATGACAAACAAAGTATCATAAAAGTACCCTGTTAACTAATTACTGACTAATTAATCAGTTGGTGATCACTAGTTGACCTTGTCTGAGTTAAATCAGTTTTGACTAGTTTAATCAATTTTGACCTCCAAACTGATTCGCTTTAAGTTATCTGTCTGACCTCATCACCCCCACTCAGGCTGAATTGGCTTGCCCAATCTCGGGCTGCAACCCATCAAGGTTCGACGATGTTGGTCCACCTTAACCTTGCTGTGGGCTTTCGTCAACAAGTCAGCTTCCATGATTTCAGTAGGACAATATTGGAGTTTGACTGTCTCATCTTCCACTCGCTCTTGTACAAAGTGGTACTTCACATCGATGTGCTTCGTTCGCTTCTGCGTGGCAGTATCTTGAACATCTTGATGCAGCTCTGGCTGTCCTTCTTGATGACTGTTGTTCACCACGCTTGTCTCAACTGTTATTAACCACGCCCATCTCAACCAAAAGTGATCGCAGATACAGAGCCTCTTGAGCTGCTGCTGCCATTAGTTACTATTCAGCTTCACTGGTAGAAATGGCAGCCGCTGGTTGCTTCTTGATGCTCCAATTGACTGCTGCCCCTGTCTTCTGCAAATGAATCTGCGGATCCATACAGTTTAATAGCATCAGCGTCCTTGTAGCACAGCTCCAGATCTTTGCTCCCCTTCAGATAACGCAGACACCCTCTTTGCAGCCACCCAGTGTAGAGTTGCGTCACAGTAGCTGGAGAGTTGCGTCACAGTAGCTGGAGAGGTGCGTCACAGTAGCAAGGATATCCGGCCTTGTTGTCTTCGCTATAAACTAATAAGCCCACAAAGCCCCTGAAGTCCTCAGCCTTCTTGGACACTTCTTCTGCTGGCCCAGCTTCAGTGCAGTCCTTCTTCGACGGCTGTGCGCTGATGTCAGCTGGTGTACCCATTGGTTTGGAGTCAGCTAGGCCAAAACGCTCCAAACAGTCGTCGATGTAACGAGATTGATTCACTGTTACCGTCACAGGTGACTGCTTGACCTGCATTCCCAGGAACCAAGACAATGCGCCTCTTTCATCCATTTTGAATCGTTCGTAGAAACGGCTCCTCATCTTGTCAACTTGTACACCCAATGATGATGTCATCTACCCAAACCAGCACATCAATCATTGCATCATTTGTTCCCCTCATCGTGAACAAACACAAATCGCTGCTGCTTCTGGTGAACCCTTGAAGTAGGAAAGTGCTCAGCGTCTGGTAGCAGTCTCTTGCTGCCTGCTGCTGCTCATAGAGACTTCGTTGTTTCAAGCACACATGGTTGTCAACGTTGCTGAACCCCTATGGCTGCTCCATTTACTTTGTCTTTGTTAGATGAGAGTTACGGAAGAATTATGGTTTCCCATAATGCATATCTGTCGGTGAAAGGTGCTTCTCGTTGCTGGATAAGGGACACAAGTTGCGAACCCTCACAGCCGTCGACATTACTCGAACCCAGAACATCTTCAGTAGCTTCGCTTCGGCCAGCAGACATCGAGTCATCTTGGTGATCACCGTTGTAGCGCTCTGCTACACCATTCTATTGGGGAGTATTGATCACCATGCTTACTCGGTACTTCAAATGCTCCCTCAATGCCACTGAAGACCCGTTGCCACACTGCTGATGCTCTGCTTTCAGTCTTTTTTGGCATTGCTACTTCATGCATCTTAGAAGCTGTACACACTTCGCAAAATTCCCTCATCTGGTGCCAGTAGATGTAAAGCATCTGCAGTGAAACTGAAGCTTGATCCTCTACCGACCGGTGAGCTCACACTCATCAAGTTGACACTGTAGCTCGGCACAAAGAGCACATTGTGAAAAGTGTAGCGCCTCACATCATCATGGCAGTGCCTGATCTCCACTTCCACTTATCCTGTGCCCTCAATCCTTGACAGCGTGCCGTTTAAAATTCTCCATAGTTCCTTCGTTCCAGCTCTCAAGTCACCCCTTTCCGCGCATCACATGATCTGAGTACCCCATATACACAATGACTTCGTCTCCCTTAATTGAAGGTGACCCTTGAAGAACCCTACTTGAAGGTGCCCGCACTTGAAGCACCCTTGCTTTTTTGCTCCTGGTCCACTTGCTTCGTTTGATCCACTGCCTCGAGCACTAGATTGTCCGCTGTCTTTTTTACACTCCCATATGACCTCTCACCACACATAGCAGACACTCTTTTCTTCCTCGCAGCATGCATGGCTATGTGACCGTGTCCAGTCCTCTCCATATCAAGGCTTCATCGAGTGATCGTAGTTCCTCAACCTCGTTCTCAGCTCTGGAAATGTCTTGACTGGTGGAAAGCTCTCCTGCACCATTAAATGCCCATAGCTGTCAGGCAGTCCATTTATCACCAGAGCATTGAATAGTGTGTCCGTGATTGCTTCTCCAGCTTCGCTCAACCGCGTCATCAGCTCTTGACTGGAAAAAGAAGTAGTCGCCGAGATCCTCCTCTGATCCCGGGTGCAGCTTCACAAGCTGGCCTACTAGACTGACCACCGTCGGCCTCTCCACACTGCAAAAGTTCTCTTGAAGCAGCTTCCAGGCCTTCGTCCCATCGCCATAGCCATCTGTTCCCACGCAGTCGTTCTTCATATAGATCAAAGTGGTGTTGTTGATCAGCAGAGCCAGGTGGGACCACACACTGTTTGATTGACTTTGCTCTGCTGGATTAACACTACTCGCTACTGCATCGCGGTATCTGAGGCTGCCTGCTGATCAGCATTCGGACTCGGGGAGAGTAGACTCAGCCTCTGGTAGATCATCACTGTCCTGAAAGGCCCTTGGTGTGCATCAGCGCCACAAACTTCGTCTAACAAGTAGGAAAACCTTCAGACTTTCCACTGAAATAGCCAGTTTCAACTCCATCGTTGCTAAAATCACAAAAGTACCAGTTATTTAAATATTGACTAATTAATTAGTTTCTGATCACCAGTTGACCTTGCTTGAGTTTAATCAGTTCTGATTAGTTTAATCGGTTTTGAACTCCAAATTGATTCCCTTTAATCAATATGTCTGACCTTGAGATGGTCTGACCTCAACAGCGAGAGCAAGAGAATTGCAACCGAGTAAAAGAATATTTTTCCGTGAACAACTTTGTTCCCCAGGTTTATCTCCTCGCTGCTGAACCATGTAGCTTATTTTAAGCTGAACAGAACTGCTCCTCAACAGACATAGTATGGGCATGTTTGATTTCAAGTACTAATCTGATCGAATTTTAATTTTTTAAGATTAATGAAAGTAGTGAAGACTCTAGTAAAGTTTTTCACGCTTACTTTGATTTTTCGCTGTTTGACTTGTGATTTTGTTTAAGTTCACTGCATTTCCCTTGTTTTAAAAAAGCAAACTACCCTATCGAACAGCAAAAGTGTAAAATCACGAGAAACGACTTCTTATTTCGAAAATAAAATTCCGTTATCCGATTTCCTAGGGAAATAACTCCTTCTCGTATTGATCCAGTTTTCTCAAATTAGGTGATTTTTATCAAAAAGTGTCAATCATAATTTGATGTACAAATTCAAAGAGTCCTAAGGCCCTTAATTTTTTTTCCAAATTCAAAATCTGAAGGTTTTCCAAGAAGGAAGTCGTTTGTGTTTTCAGTTTCCTTGCGCTCATTACTCTTTTCAAACTGTCAGTTGGCTAGGTTTTTTTGCTCCTCAGTACATTATTACAATATCAGAGGCAAACCTAGCGTAAAATGTCATTCACCGATATTTTAAATATTTGTTCTCAAATGTAAATTTCAGACTTTAAAGCGATATCGAAACATTCCGGGTTTTGCCCTGTTATGAGCAGTTTTGGTAATAACGGTGTTTGGTAATACAGTTTTTTCAAGTTGAGTTAATGTTATCAAAAAAGCGCAAATGATTAATTGTTCTAGAAATTCAAAGAGCTCAATGGGCATCTTTTTTTCTCTTTGAAATTTGAGAGTTGAGATTTTTTCAAGAAAGTCAGTGTTTTTTCTTATGTTTACTTGCTTTCATTACTCCTCCAATCTTCGATTGGACATGTTATTTTGGTTCTTGATTGAGCTGCTGCTATTTTGATATAATTTTAGTTTATTAGCTTTTCTTTTAACAGGTATATTCCCTAAAAAATTTTGGCCTAATAAATTGTAATTGCAGAAGTAAATCTCTTAGTTCTAATTTGTGAGCAAGTGATAGATTTTTATATCACTAGTGGCGCGAAGATCTGTTTTGCCTGTGTATTATTTTGGATTAGTTAATACAAAAAATTGTTATTTAGAAACTTTTTTAACAGTCAGGGAACGCAGTAAAGACTTTAGGTCGCAATGTTTGTGATTTTTTTTCCGGAAAAAACCTAAAATTTGTTCACGCTCAATTTTATTGCAAATTTGAGAGCATACTCCCCTATCCAACTGCGAAAAGTCGAAATCTGCAGCCTTCCAGAGGTGGACTTGAGAGACAGACTCGACAGCCTGTAACTGACACAAATTCAACCTCCCCACCAACAGGGAGCGCACATTGCTTGCAAAGCCCGTGATTTTGTATTTGGAACGTCTGAAGCCGGTCTCGAATCTTAAAGAATATCTCGAATCTTGAAAATTTCTCTTGTTCATACTGCTACCAGAATCTCATACTGCCGTCCCCTGTATCAATTTGAACCCCTGAATGCTAACTACATGTTCCCAAAATCTAAGTAAGCACTCACCTTACCACATGTCTAGCTTTTCACACTTAAACCGCATCTCAACAAACCAACAGGTTAATTCCAACTCCAACCCCCGCGAAGCGATAATTCAAACTCCAATTTTTTTCTTCAAATCTTTTAAGTTTTCTTCAATTCAATTGCAACGGTATTTCAGCCCCTGAGCACTGCAGCCCTTTTGTAAGATCACCCAGCGCATCTTGCAGTTTTCCAAATAGCCAAATTGAGACAAGCAACCGAAATCCTTCGATTGGCCCGAATTATACTTTGCTTGGAAATGACCGGTTACTAGACGGAGAGAGACCAGATTCGTCTTGAAGATGGTTTTAATCCGAAGCTAAGTTTTTAAACGCTGAAAGTATAATTAACTGTTAGTAGTGAAGAAAAACTGCTTGTCCTCCTGTGAATTGTGGAAAGTGTTTTGCTTCCCAAACGGAGCGAAGTCTGTCGCAGGAAATAACCTTTTCATTTTTTATAGCAAAAAACTTTTACAGTCAAATACTTAAATGCTTTAGACATCCAATATACACATTTAAAGAAATCGGAATCAAACAAGGAGCAGAGAGAAATTAAAAGCAAATTTGATTAACTCAGTCTAGGAAACCAAAATAAATTCAATCCAATAGCCACTGCAAGTTATCAAGTCAGCTTAGCCCTCAAAGGAGCTGGGTCCCGACGGATTTTATATCATATATTTTTTTAAATAGCTGGTGCCATTTGCAATGAATTTCTCACACATTCTTTTAACCCAAAGTTGGTATAGTTCGAAAGCTGTTCCTCCACCCTAACCCCACAAAGATTATAAATCATTAGAATCATATATCAATCCTCAGTCCAGCAAATAATTTTTTGGAAGCCCTAATTCATCCAAAACTTGCCGCTCATATATCAAAAGCCACTCACCAACACGGTTTCAGATTTGTTATTCAATCACTATACCCCTGTCTACAATTAAGTTTTTTCATATAACAGTTGGCTATAACCAAAAGACCCCCAAACAAACTGTACTTGCCACTCTTGACTTGCCGAAAGCCTTCGAAATGGTATGCTACTTGCCACTCTTGACTTGCCGAAAGCCTTCGAAATGGTATGCCACCGTATCGCCACTTTAGGACCTCATTCAAAAACGAACCGTCGACAAACAGGATTAGATGATGCTCATCTTATGCTTATTTTTTTTTTCATTCTTTTGTTCAATCGAGTATTATTGTCGAGGCGACCGGCAGTTTAAACATTAATCTAAATAAACTCTATGAAATTTTCACGAACAGACAGCCTAGCATTTTTCCCCTATTGGTTCGATTAGCTTGTTTAGCTTCCAAAATAAAGAGTTTAACTACTAACTAACTGTCTCAAAGGATTACATGGTTCTTCCGGTAAAAAAAAAACCAGAAATACTCGGAATAGTTTTCGACCCGTCCCCCAGTTTTGCTAGCATTGCAAACAAAACGCCATGAAAACCGCGCACAGGCATCGATCCTAAAGGCTCTTTTGGTACGAACTAAAAACAATTAAAAGAAACTTTTACTTGTAACGTTCAAAGCCTAAATCAGGCCAATACTTGGTTATTCCTGCCCTGTTTGGTTTCACACTGCCACCAAGACCTCCTTGAATTAATTTTAAGTTCGAAACGCAGCTCTCCTTGTCGCGACAAGGTGCACAAAGATGAGCTCGAATGATCACTTATACACTGAATGCAATAGACTCTTCATTCAAAAACACCATTCACTCCTGTCCACCTTATTTTCTCTGAAATTGAACTTCCGTAACCTTTATTGCATCGTAAGTTCCCGCACCCTACTAGGCAAATTAAACCTAATTTTGAATTAGTTTTTGAGAAGAACTTGCAACAACATTTCTGAGACAAATGATTTAACCTGCCGACACTGAATGAAGCAACTTCGTCTTTCAAAACTTTAATATAGCTTTAAAAAATAGCTACACAAAACCAATGCAATCAACGACGCGCCAGCTCTCGAAGTTGTCCCGCTACGACCTCCTGATTTTTCCTCGTCTAAGGAGCTGTTCCCCCGTTCAACTAGGAGCACGTTAGCGCAGTTCAGATCCGCCTGCTTCATTTTTCAAATCCCTATCTTAATAGAATAGATCCTGACATCCCCCAATTGTCTCTACTGTGCGTGCCTGATACAAACCTCTATCTCTTTAACTGCCCCACAAATCCGACTTTACTCATCCCAATATACCCGAGGCTACGCCGGGCTGATGAAGCAATGTTCTTTAGACTCGGGCCAAACTCGCATCACGCGACCCATGTGGGCAATTCACAATAATATCGAACATCGGAAGTGTAAAGATCACAAAAATGTGATCGACTTTCAGCTTCAAAAGATTTTAATTCTCAGGTTTTCCAGCAGAATACCATTTTTACCTATTGATCAATTTTTCCCAAATTGGGGTGATGTTATGAAGAAGTGTCAATCTTATCTGTTCTTGAAATCCAAAGAGCTTAAGGCCATTTTTTTGTTGCTGGAAATTCAAAAGTTTTTTCAAAGAGCTAATCAGAGTTACTTTTTGTTACCTTGCGTTCGTTGACTCTTTGTTAACTGTCTTTTAGATTTGTTTTAAATTGAATTTCCATCTCCGGTGAAAAAACTGTTGTGGGGAATTTGAAATTAAAAAAAAACTAAATCTAGCTGTTATTTCTTTTTTTCTTGATTTTAATAAGTTTCAATGAACGAAGTGAAGACACTTGTTTAGATCGTCTGGTGTTGTTTTTTCAGGAAAAAGTCCTCAAACTGATCGCGCTCTTTTTAGTTTTTTGCGGTTTGACAACTGATTCCAAGTTAAATTCGAATTAATTTGCTAAAAGGGATGCAAATTGCCCTCTTCAGTTACGAATTTACAAACGGGGCGAAAAAAGTAAATAACTTTTAGCTTCACTATTCAGAAATTCCAATAGAATTCAACATTACTTGTTGAAAATAGTGTCAATCATAAGAGTCAATCTTGAAATTCAAGGAGCTTCAACATGATGTACTTTGTCCCGAAACTCGATGTTTGGAAAATGTTTTCATTTTTTGTTTCCTTTTGTTTTCATTGACTTTTTTTCCAGCTCTCTGTTGCCTATATTCAACGCTTTTCCAGTTGGCTATGTTAAAAAGTTTCCAGTAAAAGGAGAAATAATTTTCAAAAAAAGTTATTTTTTCTTTTTTCAGTGATTTAGTGTTCCTTGACATTTTTTTCAACTGTCTCTTGGCTATGTTTTAAGCAATCGTAAATAATTTTATTTTTAAACAGAGAAAGCGGAGGGTGTGAAGATGAAGCAGCAGTTCGAGAGTGTGGCGAGGAGGCTGGAGGAACTGGTAGAGCAGTTGGAAAGTGGATTCCAGCTGGAGAGCCAGTCTCTGGACCACACTCTAGCCGCAGAGATGTATTTTAAACACCAGCAGTCAGAGGCCATAGTAGTCTGCAAGGTCAGTACTGGCTATCCTTGTTGTTGCGACCATTGAAAAGGAGTAGGAACTTAGTCTTCGGATTGGTTTTAGTTTTTTTTTTGGAAAAAAAATTAATGCGCAAAATCAGGTGCCACATAATTATAGAGAAGGGTCGAGTGATATAGCAAATCAAAAACCTGCAACTCAAAGGCCTGAAAGTGCTAATTGAAGTTTCACTTAATACTTTTCTCGCACGAAAACTTGAAGAAACCTTTAAAAAGGTGACTTTTGTTGATCTTTACCCTTGGGCTGGTGTTTATGATGTATTAAGCGTGCGTGGCCGAGTGGTTAGTGCGTGAGACTCATAATCTTTAGGTTGCAGTTGGTCGCAGATTGAATCCGAGACCTAGCCGAATTTTTTAATAGCTTGTGTTTTGTTTTTAACAAGAAAGCTTTTTTCATTCAAATTTACAAATTGTGTCCGCGAAATTTCTGTTCCGATGAAAATTAATCGTACAGAAGGTTTTTTGTTTCTTTGGGTTGACTTCAGACAGAAATGATCAATACAAAACTTGCTGAGAATTAATATGCCGCAACTACTTATGCCATTTCAAGTGATACGCTCATTTGACGTGCCACTGTTGGCGTAATTTTTAATCAAATAAACGGAACGGTCGGAGTTTTGCAAATAAAATTTCACCACATCAGCAAGCTTTCTTCATCTTTTTTGTCTGAAGTCAACCCAGTTTGAGAAAAACGAGTTTTAAGTTCAGATTTCGTTAGTTTTGTCTGGTTAATTTATATCAGCACCATATTCGTCAAGCTTCATGATTGGCTTGTGAATGTAGAGAAATAAAAATATGTTGATACAATTTGTTTGATATTTCACTTCAATAGGATAACATGTGAAACTTACTCCAGATCTATCATTTCATCTTCCATGACCGAGTTTAAAAAACAGTTTCGAGAAATCACTTGCCAAATCACAAGAAAAAGTAGCTGGGAAGCATTGCTGACAAAAACTTCCATGCATTTCATTTTCCGTAGCCTTTCTGTTTGTTTATACCATGTTTCAGCATATTCAGAATGATAAAACTAATTTTAAATTTGGAATATAATAAAAAGGAGCATTGGGGAAAAAGTGTTTCATTCGAAAATAAAATTTGAACTTGAGAAGATAAGTGGGAAGACTAAATTACGCTCTTCAAAAACAGAAGTTCAAATGGCGCGGAGGAAGGTGCATAATTTTAAGTTTCTCAATTGGTTTGGGTTTCAATGCGTCTCACAGCGGAATAAAAGTTTTATGTAGTGATCCAGTTTTCAAAGTGGTTTAGAAAAAATCAAAAAATGAAAAAGTGTGAATCAGATCAGATTCTTCAGGTTCAACGAATTTTAAGGGCAATCTTTTCAAATTTAATTTTTTTTTTAAATCAGTCATTTTTTCGTTCTTTCTCGAGTTAATTGCCACTTCAATTGACGGTTAGCTATGTTTTGTTTTCAAATAATTCTTCTTTTTGATTAATTGGCGAGACAAAATTTTTTGAACTCATAACAAGAAACTGACTTATCTATGAAGATTTTTGTTATGTATGACTGTAAATTCGTTCAATTTGTTGAGCTATTTTGTTCGCTGTCTGGGTTTTCGTTTATAAAATTCTGACACCTGTGTTAAATTTACGACCAGGCAGGCTGGTTTGAAGCCCTAGTTCTCCGAATTTAGCATTTTCAATGCTTGTTTTTGTTTTTTCTTGGAAGTTGAGAATTCATGTTTGCGATTTTTTTGCTGGTGTATAGAAGTGAAGCTTTGTCCCCCATTTTTTTTGAGAATTTAATTTTGTGTTTAGTTATGACCATTCTTTTTCCAATTAAATTCGTTAGATTTCCTTTCATTTCAGGCCTATAAGAATTTTGGGTCTCGAATTACAAGTTTGCGCAAGAAGCTGCGTGAGAAGAAGAAGGTATTACCTAGCTTACCCCAGAGTACTGTGCCTAACTCTGCCAATGACATGGAGCTAGACGAGGAGGAGGAGGAAGAGACTGGACAGAGCATATCTGTGAATCAGGAGATAGCCACTGCTAACAACCACATGAGCTCACCTGTTGCCAACCCAATGGACCCGGCAAACATTATCGGTATGCATCAATAAAGTTTAACTAAGCTCAAGAAAGGTATACGCTGTCTGCCATTATCGGTTGGCATAAAGAGGCTTTTTTAACGTTTTTTTTTTTAAAAAAAATGCTCATTAACGTTGTCTAATGTATATGGAAACCAGAAAACTCTGGTTAATACTTCTGAGCCTTTTTTTGACAATAAGTCGCTCGCAGTGTAAGAGAGTTTCCTCTTAGGTCTAGGGCTGCCGCTGATAGAAATTAATATGTGGCCCTGCCGAAAGAGGCTCCAACAATTTAAATTTCAACTTCACATTCATTCTCTGAGGGCAACACAAATCAAGCTCTTTCTTTTGGTTCTTTCATTTTGTCATCTAAAATAAGATTCATTTTGTAGCAATGAAAAATTTGGAGGCCCCGCCTGGTCCTGGACAACTGAATGCAGTTAGTGATATTATGCGTCAACTCATGTCGCGCGTGAACGGACCAGCACTGCCGTCTAGCTCGGAACCTTCTGCTCAGTCTGAAGAGTCTTCAAGACACCACATGACTTCTAACTCATCAGATGCGGCTGCTTCGGCCTTCGCGCAGCAGCAGATGACGTACTATGGGGGCAACCCGCTCATGGCCTCTTACTATGGAACACCATACAGTAGTGCAACTATGGCAAGCAATCCCTTGCCGCCACAGAGTCAAGTGAATACAAATGCGCCACTTCCTCCCTGTAAGTCATTTATTTGGTCTTCAAGTGTTTTTGAGCCTGAACTTGCTCCGAAAGCATTTTTGAGCCTTTGCATTGGAAATGAATAGTTTGTTGGTTTTGTTTCCTGAGGTATTCGCGTAGTTGTTTATAAGTGCATGTAAACGAAGTAAATTTTCACATCTCTAGGTTGTGTGATTTTTTAGGGATTTTTCAAGAAAATCTTTTCACTCAGTTTTCCACTTAGATGTTTTGAGTTTTGAATTATTTCAAAGCTCGCTGCATGTTTATTTGGTGAAGTAGAAACAAGTAATGCTTTTCGAAAACGGCGCACAAAAGAGTGTCAACATTCAAATGTTTTTGATCTTGAAAGGGCTTTGAGTTCATGTGTTTTTTTTTCTTCACAACCTCAAAAGTTGTCAAAATGTTCTGAAAATTTTCAATTTATCGATTTCCTTGAATTCATTGATAGTTTTCAATTTTCAACATATATAGTGCTTTTCAATTTTGAAAAACGTGCGAATGGCCCGAACCTTAAGTAACGATCCACTTTTTCCAATAAAAGTAGAAAATTTTTGTATCATTTTTTTTCTAAAGTTGGAGATTCTCATTAACAAAGTGGAAAAGGCATAAAAATTGTGCTTGAAAGTGTTAAATGAATATTATTTGCAGATTTCCAGATTATTTACAGTAAAAGTCTTAAAATTTATTCAGGTTCAAATTTACTTTTTCGCGGTTTGACTTTTGATTTCTTTTTAAGTTCATTTCCTTTGTTAAAAGGAAGGTAAACTCCACTATTGAACTGCTAAAGTAAAAAGCTCACGAAAAACAAGATGACCTCTCAATTCGAAAGTGAAATTGAATTTTCAGAATTTTTCAGCAACATAAAAAGTTTTGCTTGATCGAGTTTTCTCCATTTAAATCAATTTTATTAAGAGTAATGAAGGTAGTGAAGGCTTTTATGAACGTCTTGCTGATTTTTTGTTTGTTTTTTTTTTTCAGGAAAAGTCTTTAATAACTACAGATGTGCATTCATACATATTGATGCATTTATGAATGCACTTAGGTATATATACACTTTTTGAGTTCAATTGAAATTCATCTGCTGAAAGTGACGTAAATAGCACTCTCCAAATACGAATCTGGAAATGGCCCAAAAAAACCTAAAACGATTTCTAGTTTCGAAAGTTGAATTTAATTTTTAGATTTCCAGTTTTCTCTAGTTAGGTTTATGTTATCAAAAAAGCCCAATCATAAATTGTTCTAGAAATTCAAAGAGCTCAATGGGCATCTATTTTTCTCTTTGAAATTCGAGAGTTGAGATTTTTTCAAGAAAGTCAGTGTTTTTTCTTATGTTTACTTGCGTTCATTACTCTTTTCCAATCTTCGATTGGCTATGTTCTAAAAGGTGCCAATCATAAGTTTTTCTAGGTTTTTAAAGAGCTTTAAGTGCATTTATTTTTGTTCCGACCATTGAAAATGGGGAGGAACTTTGTATTCGGTTGTTTTCTTTTTTTTTCTTTTTGTTTTCCACGCAAAATCAGGTACCACTAATTGGGGACTGGGTTGAGTGATAAATCAAACTAAAGCTCTTTCATTCGTGATTCGAACCACATTTTAAAAATTTCCAAAAAATTTTACTCAGTGTCGAGAAAAACCGGTTTGAAGTTTTTGATTTATGTCATATTTCGACCGAATAAAGCGAGCGAGCAGTCTTATTTTAATTGCTTAAAAGCTTACAATAGCTTAATTTAAAACGTAAAAACTTAGTTTTACTTGAGTGACAAAATTAATTTGAGTATTTTAGCGTTTTTTGGAATCAAGTTTTTTCAAAAATTCAAAAAACTGCAAAAAAAAAAGATTTTTTATTTTATTGTTTTTTAAAGTTTTTCTAAGCTTTTCAATTTGGTTATTTTAGTATGGTTGTCGAAAACACCTAATTACTAGTTTTTTTGTTCAGCTCCTTTGATCACACCACGCCAAAAAAAAGACGTGCGCAGTAACCGACTATCCTTGTTTCACTTTGGAGCTCGAAGATTGGGAATTTTTCAAAAAATCAATTCAGTATTTTTTTCTGTTTACTTGTGTTAATTGACTCTTTTCTCTTTTCCAACTGTCTATTGACTATATTTTGAATTTTCGATTTTTTTTAGTAATGTGTTACTTGCAGAGTAACCGGGTACTTTGGTCCCCTCTTTCCTGTACGTTGTTAAATTGAGTGTTTTCAGCTGATCCGGGGGATGGCGGTGGAGTCACGACTGCCTTTTTTGATTCAATGTCCAATAGTTCAACCAGAGAATTGGAGAATACAGCCGGCAATGCAGGTTCCGAAATTAGTTCAGTTTCCGCGGCTACAAAACAGATTGATCAAATCCTTGGTAATCCGAGCGAAATTCCAAATGAGCCAGCAAATGTAGCCATCTCGCCGGTCAAAAATACTTTCCAGGCGGCGCCTTCCTTCTATTCGCCACAAACAACAGCAAAACCGAATCCCTATGCTAATCAACCCCAGTTCCCCCAGAATGCAAACTTTTCACAGCTTTACCCTCCGATGGCGAGCCCTAGCTTCTACCCTAATTTTTTCAACCCATACCAGCAACAACAAAATGCGTCACCTTTAGTTCAAGTCACGCAAAGCAGCGACGTCGATTTGAGACAAACGACCAAACCGCAATTTCCGCCTAGCAATCATCCTCCATTTGAACCCAGTATTGATAGTCGACCCAATACTCAGAGTCAAGATTATGATTCAAGGTATTCAAACCGAGACAGAGCAGATGGCGCAGATCCTAACAGCTGGAACAGTCAGGTTGCTGGCTTCTTGGAGGATCCAAGGAAACGTAGTCGTGATGGATCTTCGCAGAACTATCGCGGGGTTCCTCCTTTTAAGCGACCATTCGGGGGCAGATACATGGACGACCGAAGAGGGCGGGGTTCGAACCGGGGTGGCCGTGGTCATTGGAACGGACACGATGGATATGAACAGCGTGACCAGGATTACAGACATAGTTCTTCGAATGAGTTTGGACCACGTGGTGGTAGGGGTAGAAGTCATTGGAATTCTAGAGGCTCGGGAAGCTCATTTGACAGGGATGCTGCATCATTTAGAGGGAATCACAGAGATAGTGCACCAATTTTAGACCTTCCTGCGATGAATCCAGCAGAAATAGAACAAAGTTCAAATGCTCCAAAAACGATCAAAGATGTGCTAAAAGAGTCTGGACAAAGTGTGTTGGGCTCAGCGTTGTCCAATGATTCTGATTTGTCTTCGTCAGAATGCAGTCCACTTAAAAACGGGATCCGGCCGCCGCCGCTTCTCCAGGCTCCGGATCTGAACGCCTCAAGATCATCAGAAGAAAGCTACACGCCTACCAGACCTCATTTGACGCATATAGGTGAACCAGGTTCAATTGATGTTGAGAAGAATTCGATTCATTTCGATGCTATCAGAAATGCGAGAAATGTTGCGGAAGCGGAAAGTGGAAAAAACGTTGGTCATTTTGATGCAATTAAAAGAGCAAGAAATGTTGCAGCAGAATTTGAGCAGTCTTTTAGTTCAGGGAACGATATAACTGCTGAGGAGACAAAAAAGGTACACGACGATCCAAATGATGGAAGTGTCCCAATTTTAATGAACTCCGCGCCGGGTTCTGACTCTCAAAACTCTGATAACTTAAATCCAAATTCACCCATTAAACCTGTCTTGAATATTGCCCATTCCATGCAATCAGACAGCCATTCAGGTGACCGAAGTTCAAACAGTAGAAATCAATCGCAATTTAGTAGAGGTCAGAATAGAATGCAATCTGTTGCTCCGCCAGATAGTCAGCCGAATTTGGCGAATGTGGATACGAGTTCACCCGAGTATGCTAGATGGTGGTTCTACCATTTCGGGCGGGGCAGGGGACGGGGAGGAGGAATGTCATCCAATGGCATGAACAACAGAGGGGGAGGCATGATAGCACCACATCTCTAATTAAAACTTACAAACTTGATTTTGTTTTTCCAAAACAATGTAGTTTTCTTTTTCTGCATTGAATAGAATCTATGCTGTCTAAAGTTTGATTTGCAATGTATCCGCCACTATTGCTCTGCATATTTTATGGGAGATTTTCCTAAAGATGTCAATTTAAATTTACCGAAAAGAGTTTTGCAGAAAAAGAGCATTCTTAGGTAGAGCGACTGGAATTTGAGTCTAATTGAACAAAAGATAATAATAATAAGCTAAATGATTTTGTTAAAATATATTTACTGGAATTTTTTTTTGGCATTCTACTCAATTTCTTGTCGACTCAATTACCCAGTACCCATAGACACAGTAAATATCCGCAATTATTACTTAAATATATTCCAGTTTCCAGTCATCTAAACTCTTGATTCTGGTTAACCTTGATTCTTGAGGTCTCATACTTAGATTGAGTTAAGTTACAAGGTGCTCCATTTTGAAAAATCTACGATGAAACTTTAATAGGAGTTTTTTTTAAATACATCAATGAGTGCTTAAATGTGATTTCATTGGGAGAACAAAATTTTTCAGCAAAGTATAATTATTTCAGTTTTTGACCATGCCGTCAGACCCGAAAGACGTTAAACCGTTTCCGAATGGACCCCCGGGCTCAAACTGTCAAAACGACACACAAGACGAAAACAGAACTGACCATATCGAAGTGACGTGTGAGTTCGAAAATGAACAAATGAAATTTAAAGTGAAGCCGTCGACCAAATTACAGAAGATTCAAAACACGTTTTGTGAGAGGAAAAATCTGAAGAGTTCATCTTTGAGATGTTTCAATGAAGATGGAGACCGTTTAGAATTGGTGAGTTACGTAAAGTAAAAAAAGGTGCCGTTGTTCCAAAGGAGTGGTTAGGTCCTGTAGTTTTTCAGTCTCATTTTGCTGCTGGTTTTTGATTCACGTCGAACTTACGGTGCATAAAATATGTTCTCCAATTAAACATGTTTGAACCACAAATAGATTTATTTTTAGAATGCACAGCAGAAGCATTTAAATAACAATTATTCTAGCTTACCGTTTTACCAAAAGCTTGATATTGGAAAAGCTTTCGTGCATTGTGCGGTGCAATGAATATAAGTGAGATTGAAATTTTTCTAAAAATTCAGTTGAAAAAACTCGAATATGATTCATGATAAGACTTTTTTCTTAGTAAACAACTTGTCTTTTAAATTTGTATGAAGTTTGTGCAGCTGCCACTTTAGCTGAGGTTCCGAAAGTTTGGGGATCGAGTCTCGCTCGGGCTTTTTTTGATGGTGAGTTGTTGGTAACTTCTAAGGTTTCTCCATTTTTGTTTCTCTTGAGGTTTATTTTTGTAGTTTTCAAACTATTCTTTATAGTTTTCAAACTATTGTAATTGAGAGCTCTTTTCAACGTCACCCACTTTTGAATTGCAATTTTGAATACCTAATTTAACAATATCATGACGTAATTAGATTTCGCATGGTGAACAAAAAACATCGGAAAATGTATATTGCGCATTTAGCCGTAAAACCACGCACAGCTCTAAAAATGCAATGTAAGAGAAATTCGATTTTTTTTAAATTAGTAAAGAACCAGTTTGCGTGCTTTTAGAGCTCGACTGTGGGCAAAGCTGGCTTAGTGGACGGATCCATGGTGCTGCTACAAAGAGATCAAACGGGAGGCAGCGACATAGCAGAACACTTTTCAGTTTCAGTGACTCAAACTTGACATCAACTTGGCTTTTGTTTTCACGCTCTTCTTGCAAATTGTTGTCAACGTGCAATAATTGAAAATGTAGTTCTCTTCAGAAGATAAGGAGATATGTTTAGATACCAACTAACTTTTCTACAGATTTAGTTGAAGCAGAAAAGGTTTCAAGATTTTCTAAGCTCTTTTGTGACTTGCTAATTAATTAATTTATTTGGTGTGTTGTTTTTTTATGCTCAACTGAGTGCAGTTGGAGATGCTGTTTTTAATGCTATTTTCCAGATTTGCTTATAAAACGAAATTAAGTAAAAAATGTTTAACTTTGTTTTTTGAAGAGAAAAGCGTCAAATATTTTTCGAAATATTGAATACTGAGTTCTGATTGGCTGGAGCCAAGTTTGTCGCCATGGCTCCTTTTGGAATGAGGGATGAACAAAAATAAAATTTATTTTATGGTTTTGCTTAAAGGTAGGCAAAAAGACTTTTTCATGTAAGAAAAGAATAAATTGCGATAAAAAAGGTGAGTGAGTTTTTTCAAAAGCATTTTTTAATGAGTGAAATAATCGGTTTCACTTTAAAGATTTCGGAGCGGAAAGAAAAATGCATACTGATTAGGAGTAATGAACCTAGTGAGTTTTTTATATAGGTGTAGTGAGCTAATCAAGAAAAATACAAATTACCACTTTTTCAAAAAAAAAATTGGTCACGTCCTTAATTTGTTAATTATTGGTGACTAACAATTAATCAAAACAAAGAGAGTATTGGCAGTGAAAACTTTAAAAGTTTCATTCAACGTTAAAGAAATCTGTTGAATTTTGTAAATTTATAAAGATTGATGGAACCACATATTGAAATTTTAGCATTTTTTTTACGTGAACTTACCTTTTCACTCAACAATAAATTATTTTTTTAAGAGTAATGAACTTAGTGAGTACTCTTATTTTGGTCTTGGTTATTTTTTTTGTTTTCAGGGAAAAGTACTAAAATTTGTTCACGCTCGTTTTTGATTTTTCGCGGTTTGACTTGTGATTTCTTTTTAAGTTCAGCGCATTTCCATTGTTAAAAGGAAGGCAAACTCCACTCTCGAACAGCAAAAGTCTAAAGGTCACGAAAAACGTGATCAACTTCTAATTTCGAAAATGGAAATTAGTTATCAGATTTGCCAGCGAAATAATAGTTTTGCCCATTGATCCAGTTTTCTCAAATTGGGGTAATTTTAGAAAAAAAAAGTGTCCATCAGAAATTGTTCTAGAAATTCAAGCAGTTATAAGGCCATCGAAATTCAAAAGAACCAGTTAGGTTTTTTGTTTCCCTGCGTTCATTACTGTTTTCCAACTGTCAGTTGACTACGTTCCATATTTAAATTTGGCTATTTTTATGAAAAGATACTTTTAATTCAATGAGCTTTCAGGTGATTTATTTTTCTTGGTTGATATTTTGAAAAAGTAATGGTTTATTGGCTTTTAAAATTTTCTGTTGGCTATTTTATTTACACCAGCGAGGATGAAAGCGTTTTTTATTTGCAATTCCATTTTCTATCCAACTCGCATAAAGTTATCATTTTGGTGTAATTTTTGCTCAAAGTATCGGAATTAAAGCAGGTGTTTTTTTTCTTTATCGCTGGCTAATGTTTTGGATTCTTAAGCGTCAAGAAAAAAGTTGTGCAGGGGAGTCGATTTAGACGCTCGAAGACTGTGGTTGGATTTGCGTAGAGGGCACTCTTATTTCAAAATTTGATATTTTCTATTTTCTTGCTTTTTCTCCTTCTTTATGCTTCATTATGGCTTTTCATCGCGTGTTTGTGAAATTCAGCTTCGCTTCTCTCTCGATTTGAAAATGTATTACAATGTCAAATATTTGTAAGAAAAGTTTATTTAAAAAAGGACAAACTGAACTTGAAGGCAGCTGAAAATGATGCTATAATTTTTTTTTTACTTTATTTTTTGAATACGCTCAACAGCTAAAATTTTCATTGGAATTTCACGCAAAGAGGTGAAAGGTCCTTACGCATTTAATAATATTAAGCGTGACCATTTTGATCCAATTAAAAGTGATACAACGTTTTGAATGTTCGAATTTTTCGGGAACATCGTCAATTTTTGTCTATCATCTTTTAAATTTTCCTTGAAAAAGTGTTTTATTCATGAAATCAATTAATTTTTTATTTCAAAAAATGATTCAAATATGGTTTTAAATTTGTTATTTTAAAAGATATGAATTCCTTTTCTGTTTTCTTTTTTGTCTCAATGATTTGTTACCCTTGCGATAAGCAAGGGTGTTGCAACACGGTGTTAGAATTTTGTTCCGCTTAAGAAGTTTTCTCACGGATTTCAATTTGCATGCAGTACACGTCCAATGCATGCGTCATATGCATTCAGTATTACTTATTACTTAAGTAATATCTTATTACTTCCTCAATGATGTTTTTCTGATAAATTTGGAATCGAAAACATTTTTTTTGTTATTTTTTTGTTGATTTTTCGACTTCGTTGCTGTCTGTTCACTTTTGTCGTCTTAGTTTCGGCTTTTTTTACAAGCCCAATGAGTTGCATATTTGATTTCTATATATTGATGGTAAAACGTGAAATAAGTTTTTGAATGTGAGGTTCATCAGACGTACAGATGTCGATTTTTTGGCTTTAATGCTCACTTTTTTTCAATAATTTAAAACCTTTTTTCTGTAAATAATTGAATACTTATTTTCATTTTTTTCAACAAAAAAAAATAGAGTTCATCATTTTTTTGTTTTCATACACGCCTTAACTTTTGGTTAGGAAATAAAAAAGTTTAAAATTTTGCATTAAGTTTTCAGTTTTTTTGGATTCATCGTTTCTGGTTTATTTTGTTTAGTACAGAAAATGTGTGAAATTGTTTTTAGTTTTAGTTATTCTGGTGTAATTTTGGTTTGAGAAATTTAATTTTAAATTTTTTCACAGTGTATTGTTTAAAAATGTCGATAAAAATTCATAAATTTCTACAAAGTTTGGTCTGCAAATTTGACTTGTTTGTTTTATCTACGAAAGAATGTGGCAAATTTTGCACGAGATTCAAAAGCATGGTTTTTTCTGTTTCATCCAAAAAAAATTGTGGCGTGTTTCGTACCATATTTGAGAATTTTCTTTCTTGAGTTTTTTTTCCGGCTGAAGTTTTTTTGAAAAATGAGAGTCTTCGTGTTTTTTATTTCATTAACGGGCGTATTTTTTGTAGCGATCGTTCATATATGTACTGCAAGTTGTTTGTTGTGACAGTTTTTTTAACTTAAGCAGTCATTTTTTTTGAAATTTTGGTTTTTCAAATTCGTGTTTCATTTAAATCTTAGTTTATAGCAAGCAAAGGAAAAGGCCTGTTTTTATCCTCAATTTTGCCTGTAGGACATGCTGGTTAATTGGTTGAATGATTTTTTCAAAATTCTTCTTATGTTTTAGGTGGCTGATTTCCATAAGAGTATTGAGTCGATTGCTTCGCCTTTGTGTCGATTTTTTCTTCGTTTTGAGTTTTTGTGAGTTTCAGTTTTGATCAATATCGAAATATTAAAATAAATTGAACTGTCCTGTTAGTGCAATATGAGTTTTTTTTTCGATTATTGTTCCGACCATTTGAAAAAGGGAGGAACTTTGTATTAGGGTGTGTTTTCGTTTTTCTTTTTGTTTTCCACGCAAAATTGCGTACCATAAATAATTATGGGAATGGGTCGAGTGATATATCATAATAAAGCCCTTTCAGTCGCGATTCGAAAATTTAAGAATTTGGGAAAACTTTTGATTTTCGTTGATAATTTTTTTTAAATTTCTCAGTCATTTTTCTACAATTTTTCCTCATTTTACCATGGCTGTCTAAGATTCCTAAGTTCCTGTTTTTTGTTCGGATCTCTTTTTCATAACCTTCCAAAGATTTTCAAAACCTTCCAAAAAATGCATAGAAACGTCTATTTTATTGCAGGGTTTTTCAAACATTTGCCTGCGGCGCAGAAATTTGATCAAAATAGCGTCATCGAATTGATTTCGTCAACCTAAAAAAGTTTTCTAAAAAATTCGCTTCCCTATTGAGGAAATTGTGGATCCATCCGCCCCTGGAAGCATCTTTTTGGCCGTCATCTGTGTAGCAAGCAATTCTCGAGTTTATTTTAATGTAACTGTAACCAAGCGATAAGATTTTAGTGAGCTTGCTGTTCTTAATGATTTAAAAATATTTATTGTGTTTCGCTTATACTAAGTTTTAATTTAAATTTGGTCTCAAGGCGGATTTTGAAATTAAATGATCGAGAGAAAAGAAAAGTTCATCAGAAAAATTCACCATTGGAAATTATCTAAATTGTATTTTTATCCTCAAAAAATGTTTGCTAGATCGAAATGATTTTGTGTTTTCTGATATTTCTCACTGGTCTTAGAGTGAAACGAATCTCCTTTTCTCCGTGTATAACATGCGTTCACTTTTTTCGCCAAAATTGTGTCAGTTTCTTTTCAACTTTTGTTTTTTATTTGTATCTATCTGTATTTAGTATTTTAGTATCAGGTCTTTTATCCTCTTTAGTAGAGTCAATCGTTGATTCATGGTATTTAATATTGGAGAATGTATTTGCTATAAGAGAAAGCAGCTAGAAAAAAGCCTGACACGCTGCAGGTTCGGGAGTCGAGTCACGTAGTCAACTACTTTTTTGTCGTTTTTTGCTTTTGTTTGCGAAGTGCAGCTCCGCCTTTGTTTTGATTCTTCTCACGCTCATTGACGAAAAGCACATTTGATTGTTTTTTTTCAATTGCGTTTCTATGAATGCGATGTGATTGTTAATGTTAAGTTTTAATGCTACAGAAAAACTTCACTTACTCAATAGTGGATTTAACTCAATAAAAATGAAAAAAAGTAACAGTTTTCCTGCATCCAGTTTTCTTAAAGGACCTAATTGCGGAGTTCTTTGATGTTTGAAGAGCTTCGCGGCAACTGCGGTTTATATTTTTTTTCTAATGAAAATTGGAAGATGGAAATCGTTAAAAAAAAATTGCCAGGCTCATAGAAAATTTTGACACTGCTGCCAATTGTGTCACATTTGCTAATGTATCAATATCTAAAACAGTTTTGGCAATTATGGGGCTAAAGCAAGAATAAAATTGATAGCCTTGCTATTAATAATGGCTATTGTAGTTATTTCATTCCATCTAAAAGATATTGACTTCATTTTGATGAAAGGAAGTTACAACTTTGGGAGAAGTTTACGGAATTGTTTTATTTACTCTGGTTTATTTTTCTTTAGTTAGTCAACTTTCAATTTGCCATTTTAAAAAGAAATTTTGATATCATTTGATTGATATCGATGTCATGAATTAAAATTTTT